GGAAGGGAAAATAATTCCAGGTTCCCATAATGGCAAAACTATAGGTGGAACGAGTGCATTCTACAGCTCTACCTCCACATTTGTATTGTTACTTCGCAGCATACATTCCAATGATAACTTCAGGTGCTGTCATTGCTTCATGGCAGGTATAGCCTAGATCACGCACTCCTTCAGCAGGTAGGGAGAAGCAACCCTGTCCATGGAGAAAAAAATCTCTGCAGGTAAAGAACTAGCACATCAGGACCCACAGTGCTAATTTTCTACCTGCATTTATATATAATCCTTAAACATTTTCATAAACCCCACACTTTTATCATTTGTAGGCTATGTCTCAGATTGTGTTGAGGGCGTCCCAGTCCTTATGGGCATTTTCAGTCTCGAACTGAATCCGCTTCGCCTCCCACCCTTTCGCTTCTAACACAAACTACAGAGAAGAGGTTCACTATCGAGATGCCACGTCCTAGAACGGCAAATTAGGCACCCGAAGACAATGCGGGTCACTTCCGCTTTCCGTTTTGGCCGGAAGTTCCGGTCATATTGTCGTTCTGTTTTTATGACGACAAAGCGGAAGCGATGACCAGGAAGGAAAGACAGGAGTCGCCTGGTTGCTTTTTGACAGTCACATGACGGAGGCTTAAAGGGAACGGGACTCTGTGTTCAAGGCGGGTATGTGTGAGAAGGCTCTGGTATCGGAAATGGGGGGATTGAAATGCGTTGTAAACTTCATTGCTTAAAACGTGTGAGGTGTGTTAGTGCAGCTCAGTGCTCAAAACTATGGTGAAAGCGGGAACTGGTGGTAGTAGTAGCTTCTACCCCCTTTTCTTTTGCTCTAGGGACCTCAACAGAGAGCTTTGCCACAGGAGGAGGGATTTCTTTTAGGTGTTTACTTATGCTTAGCACGCTGATGCAAAGAGTATTAATATCGGTAGTTACTTTTTCCGTTAAGTGTAATTAGAGTGTTCGACGGGGAAGCCCTTTGTATTTAGTGGAATTGCTTAGAAGTGTGATGCAATTGCTGGTAAGCGTTTGATCTGAAACCAAAATGTCCTAGCCTAGGAACAGTGTTGTAAGCTAATTCTAATGAAACGTTCCTGCCAGTTTTTGTGCGTTTGCGCAGTTTTCTTAAGCTAACTTGTATGGAAGCCAATTCTGCCAGTTTCAGTGGGTTTTACTTCCAAACGGTTATGCTCATCATTGCAGTCTAAAGTAACTGCATTATTTTCATAGATTCCGGTGTGTGGCCGTGTTGTCTGTGTATCTACTACAAAGCTTTGTTGGTCTTCAAGGTGCCACTGGACTCAAACTTTGTTCTATATTATTTTCCGTTTATCTTGTAATGGAATGCTCCATAGGTGTGGTGTAGTGGATAAGAATGTCAGACTAGTATCTGGGAGTACCAGGTTTGAATCTCCACTTGTGTCTTGGAAGCTTCCAGTCATGTTGTCTCAGTGTAATCTACCTCACAGTGTTGTGAATATAAAATCAAGGAGGGAAGAACAGTGTAAGCTGTTTTTGATTGCCATTTGGGAGAAAAGCTTAATATAAATGAATGTATAAACACAAAATCTTACAAACGGTAGATGCTGCTTTTCAAGTTGCATCCCTGTTTTTGAAAGTGACTCCATCTTGAACATGCTGTAGCCTGTTAGCTGATCAAAATGAAAGGTCAAGACAACTGACTTGGGCTTTTCCTCATGCAAAAATATCTCTTTTTTTCCTTGCTCATTTTGTTCTTTTCACCTTAACATCCAGGAAAAATTCTGTTTTGTGATTATTTAAGTGGTCATAGTAACAAAGGTAATTTTTTTCTGGATTTTTCTTTTCTAATAGACCATTTCTTAATTGATTATTCTTTTTAATTTCTTATTCCTTTTCACTGTCCCATAATTGTGATCATTTTGTATTCCTTTGGTTCTATGACTTTTTGGTAGCCTTTGGGACTCATTGCCATGACCACTTGGCATATGGTCACTGTTAGGGGAAAAACAGCCTTAGCCATCTATCAAGTGAAGCCAACTGCCTTCAGTTTTTGTAGCTTTTATAGCCCATATGTATAAAGCCATAATCAATGCATATGTGTCAGCCTTTATGTAATTTGCCTAGCACAGGTTAAAATTGTCATGGGTTGATTTTTCTGCATAACCACCTTTGTGCTGGGGGCTTTCACTTCCTAGAACATAGTACCCAGTTAAGATGCATGGGAACAGCTAATCTAATCACAAAATATGTTAACTTTATTTTTTCCAGGAGTCTGGGCAATTCATTTGATTGTCACTGTTTAATAAGATGGCTGACGTAAGTATAAATATCATTGTAATGCATGCTTGGAATGGTTTTGCTTTGACCAGAAACCATTTTTGATCATAAGATCTCAGTAGACTTAGACTGTATAGGAATGTATTATAAGTAACTGTGTTTAAAAGGCAAACATTTTGTACCATTTCCTTTCTATGCCAGTTTGGTATAGTGTAGTGGTTGTGTGTGTGGACTCTAATCTGGGAGAACCGGGTTTGATTCCCCACTCCTCCACTTGCACCTGCTGGATGACCTTGGGCAAGCCATAGTTCTGATAAGAGCTGTCCTTGATAAAGAGCTGTTCCTGTCAGCGCTCTCTCAGCCCCACCTACCTCACAGGCAATGTTCCCTCTAAGCCATGGAGTCTTGTGAGCAAAAATCCTACTTTGTGAGCTACTGGCATTAAAGTTGTGAGCGAGCGATTTGGCTACTGCATCAGTTAGCTTGCTCTGGAGTCATCCTTCCTGAGCTGAGACAAAAATGTGTGAACTGGAGGCTAACAAACTGTGAGCTAGCTCACACTAACTCAGCTTAGAGGGAACACTGCTCACAGGGTGTCTGTTGTGGGGAGGGGAAGGGAAAGGCGTTTGTAAGCCACTCTGAGACTCCCTTGGGTAGTGAAGGGTGGGGTATAAATCCAATCTCCTCCTCCTCCTTCTATGCATGCTTGTTGAGTGGTATGGGGATTCCAGTTAGTATTAACAATTACGACTGCAGTCCAGTGCACATTTGTTTGGGAGTCAATTCTATTGGACATCATGGGACAAGTAAACATGTATCCAATTATACAAGTATGTAAGGAAGTCCCAGTTCATTTCCATTTAATTAAATGAAAATGGAACTGCATGACCTCTTGTATGTGACATAAATGACCCAAGAGATGAAGTTGTTTGTGTTTTCCTCTTCCAGGATCTGAAAAGATTTCTGTACAAAAAGCTGCCAAGGTAAAGTTCCTACTGAGATTAATGTTCTACTGTTGTGTGTGTCAAATATCCTAACTTCTTTCTGTGAAGCAGAACTTGAAAATAAGTCCCTTTTCTTTCCATGGAATTCATTGACAGTGAACATAGTGACATCAGCTAGCAAAGATGGCTTTAAAAAGGCATTGGATAGATTCATGGAGGAGAGGTCCCTCAATGGCTACTTGCCATGGTGACTAAGGGGAGCCTCCACATTCAGAGGTAATAACCTCTAGATATCAGTACTGGTAAGCTACATCAGGGGAAAGCCTTTGTATCTGTGCCCTGTTTAGTGGCTTTTGGTGGCAAATGGTTGGCCACTGTGCAAAATGGGTTAGTATACTAGATGGATCACTAATCTGATCCAGCAGGGTTGATATGTTCTGAACTATTCCTAAGGAAAGAGTCTGTTTCCAGCAAAAGCCTTTGGGAATATGCAATCAATCAATAGTGCAAGATGTCATATGAAAGCCCATGGTACAAAATGACATTTAATTTAACCCAAAATTGTCCTTGTACCAAATAATTAAAAGGTTTCCCTGTTATCCTTAAGCAGTCAGCTGACTGCGACAGCAGAGCAGGGAGAGAAGAGGATGTGATACCTGTGGCCACTATCAAGCCTGGCGGCCAACACCTGTAAGCATAACATGGGCTTACTGTGGGATCAACGGTGATTAGACCATGGGATCAGGAGAACAGAGGAGAATGCAGGACTACAGGGTTAGATGTTTGACAACACTCCCTTCCTTGCATACTGATGCAAACAACAAGCTAAGGATACATATATCTATGGTACAGATACTTGAAAAGCTACAAACTGATAAGATATTCATAAAGCCCATTTAATCACAAGAAGTTTTCTTCAAAAGCACTATTACTTGTAAGAGATCATTCTTTTATTGCTGAGAAACACAAGGCAGAAACCGAAGGACTGCAGTTCAGTCTGCTTCTACTGCTTTTGAGGCCTTCACCCTTCCCCCTGCAGCCCCTCATATGCTCTTGAAAGCCTTGCATGAATGCCAGGTTGGCTTCTAGAGGAGCAGCAGGCAAGACAGCAGTGGGAGAGTGGCGGCTGGAATGGGGAATCACCCACCCTAGAACACATCTGGAAATGCTTTCTGTTCACACACAATGGATGCCTGTTTGGATTGAAGCCACCCTTTAGTAATCTAGGTTTCAGTGGTTTTTTAGTACAAGATCTAGGCAGACGATTGATTTATTCATGAGTTGTAGACTGAAAGTGGGTTAACTCTGATATCATCCTCAGATATCTGACAAAGGGAGCTTTGACTCCTGAAAGTTTATACCCCGAAAATCTTGCTGGTCTCTAAGATGCTACTGGACTCAAATCTAGCTCTTTAATGGTTGTTACCCTTTTTTCCCCAAGGAGCTCCTGGTAGAGTCCATGAGGCAGTAGGTCTAGTGTAGCTGTGTCCAGCACCACTGAATCTTTTCAAAGGATCGGGAACAGAAAAAATCATCTGACCCTTACGCCCCGTGAAAGAACCCTTCGTGTTGAGTGGTGGCAGCAGTGCACTTGCGTATTGATTGTGTCCTAAGATTATTTTTCAGATAATACATTTCAGTCTTGAATTCCATGAATTAGCCTTAAAATGTCACCTGATCTTGAAGACTGTAACTGTTAAACGGATTAACTGAATGTTTCTTAAAAGCGAAATGCCAGCAGCAAAATGATAACCAGCCTTGCAAAGTGTTTTAAAGCGTACCCTATTCATTTTTCCCCCAGTGTTGAAGGACTTCATGCTATTGTCGTGTCAGACAGAGATGGTGTGCCTGTTATCAAAGGTAAGGGATAACTATGCATTTTTAGATAAGTGAATGCAAATTTCCAACAGGAGAATATTTATGCCCTTTACTCAACTGGACCATTGGAAAAAAATACTATGTTTCAGGAAGTTGTGTGTGCAAGCTACTTCCTCCGTGTTTCAGTGTTGGGTAATAGCGTGAACTGTTTATCCATGTATTGCTTCAGTGAAGACCAAAGGCATTCTTAAGCCTCTGTGATGTACTGAAAAAAAAAGCTGTTTTCAGGACTGCATGGATGTGATCTCAGATGTGAGGAGAATGCAAAGTGAAGCTACGGTAAAAACTTTGTGATTGGGCACTTAATTATCCAGAATGCTTAGTTACTTAGCATCACCCAGAGGGCAAGCTCTTCCCATTCAGCCCCCACACCCCTGCATCTTCAGGCATGCGTACACAGCATACTCCTTTGTTGCCAGTCAGCCAGTTTGATGCCTGTGGCCATTCCTGGGCTTCTGCTGACATCATCCCCAGATGTCTTCTTCCCCCTTAGCCTGCATTGGACTGTTGGGAGCCAGCTGTGCAAGAGGTCTTCTAGGCAACTCGCCCACTCGTCTGCCTGCTGCTTAGTTCCATGGCTCCAGGTGGGGGAGCTGTTGCCCTGATGTTTCGAGTGGGTTGTGTTGATGTGAATTCCTCTGGGTAGGAGCAGGGCAGAGTAGTAACCTTGAGTATCCAGCTCATTTGATTAACCCAGAGTGCTGAATAACAAAGCTCTTCCCACAAGTGCTGGATAACAATCTTTTATTGTAGTTGCTTGGCTTGTAAAACTTGACTTTCTCAAAGACCAAATTTTGAGTCCAGTTGCACCTTTAAGACCAACAAAGGTTTATTTAAGGTATGAGCTTTCGTGTGCATGCACACTTCCTCAGATATTTTGAAATGGAAGTTAGATGCCTCTACATAGGTGAACAGCAAATAGTATACAAGTTAATGAAGATGTTTTGACATATGCAAAGACTAAACAGCAATAACAAGCTAACTTCATACAGTCACCATTTGTTTGGATTTAATTGGGGGGGAAAGTGAAGCAATAAATGTCAAAATAGGAGATAGATGTGTAAAAGTATCCTTAATTATTAAGTGTAATAAACTGTGACTGTTGTTACACACCATTCATCTCAAACATGGAGTTAACTAACAACATCCTTTTCTTAGAGGTGGGGTGCAGTGTTATGTCAGAGAAATACATTCCAATATTCATTGCGTTACATTCACTATTCCAATATACTATTCCAAAAAAAATACACTAAAATACAGAGGATGTATAGCCCTTCCTGAGAATACATTTGTATGGACTGAATGAGTTTAGCATATGTAATGAGATAAGAAAACTATATCCTTGTTAAGTCCTAGGGAGGTTTTTGTTCCAACTGTTGTAATAACTTGTAATTCATCAATTTCCTTTTCCATTCTGTTCCTGAAGTTCCTTTGTAATAAAACAGCTACTTTGAGGTTACCCATTGAATGTCTTGGAAGGTTGAAGTGTTCTCCTACAGGTTTCTCAGTCCTATGATTGCTGTTTACACCAGTTGGTGTAGTGGTTAAGAGCAGCAGACTCTAATCTGGAGACCCAGATTTTATTCCCCACTCCTCCACATGAAGCCAGCTGGGTGACCTTGGATCAGTCACAGTTCTCTCAGAGCTCTCTCAGCCCCACCTACCTCACAGGATGTCTGTTGTGGGGAGAGGAAGGGAAGATGATTGTAAGCCGCTCTGAGTTACGTGCTTACGTGTAACTGCTACTCTTCAAAAAGGCCATACAGCACTAGCTGCTCTGCGTGAACGTATTTAGATGCTGGATGTCAAGTGTCCTTTTTTTGTTCTAGTTGCCAACGATAATGCTCCAGAGCATGCTCTTCGACCTGGTTTTTTGTCGACCTTTGCACTGGCAACAGATCAGGGCAGCAAATTAGGCCTCTCCAAAAACAAGAGTATTATCTGTTACTACAACACATATCAGGTAAGAGGTTCAGTATTTGTTTGCTTGTGGTGGGTGAATGGATTAGTTTTGAAAGTGATACAGTGTAGCTTAATATTGAGCATCCATTTCCATTTCAATCAAAATACGTCTGCACTGTATTCTTATATCCAGCAGTCAGTTTTGCCCAAGATGCAGAGTTTGTTTCAGTTCTTATTTTATTTATTTAATTAAGCTTATATCTTGCCCTATCCCACAAGTGGGCTCCGGGCAGCTCACAACATATAAAATAAAATTGGAATAAACATATAGTCAAAGCCAAATTAAAAATAATCAGATGGCAACTAAGATAACTAAGACAAAAAAGCGTTCACTGTTGACTGACTAAAGATACTGTTTACTATCAATCTGTGTAATACCCTTTTATCCCATCCTTCCTCCAAGAGGCTCAGAATGGCATACATTGTCCTTCTGTTCCATTTTAATCCTCACAACAGCCCTGTGAGGCGGGTTAGGCTGAGAGTGTTTGACCAGCCCAAAGGCACCCAGCAAGCTTCTATGGCACTGTGTGTTAATTTCAGCCCAGAACTTCTAGGCCCTCACCCAGCAGTCTCATCTCTACACCACATTGTGTCTTGGTGCTAGTGTATTCAAAACTGACAATGCTTTAATTCTGTGGTTAGCCCTTCCTTGCATGTGCCATGATCCAGCTGTTTGGCTGTTGTACCTGGACCTCTTGCATTCCATGGATTGTAGCGATGGGAGCTGAGGTGTGCGCTTTGCAGGAAATCAGCTTTTCCCAGTTCTCCGATTGCTCAATCAAAAGTTTTTGAAATTATGTATGGTGAGGAGGTTGAGGAGAAGATCTTGCTTCCGGGACTTCCGGCTTTGGCGACTCACGGACGGACGCACCTCATCAAGCTCTGATGGGTGAGATCCGTATTGGGGCAGTAAGGAGGCGGACCGGTTGATTTCGGCCTCCCCTGGAGCACTCCCGAAGCCACGGCTAAGGGATTGAGGCTCCTTTTTTCCCCGTTAGGTCCTGCTGTCCCGAGGCCAGCAATGGCACTCTGAGGCACACTCCGGAAACAGAGCAAGCAAAGGATCTAAGCAAAAGAGACCTTCTTTATGCTAATGACAACTATCTATGTTAAATGTGAGTGATGAAACTCTAAAATAATAAGCGCCAAATGGGAATCAGCAAAGAGACGGCAAAGCTTTAAAACTAGAGAAGGGGGGGAAACCCGACCAGAGGGGGAGGAGTAACCCTACCCTAGACAAAACAGCGAGAAAACTAACAAAACTTTAAAGCTAAGCCGAAATATTGTAAGGAGAACGCTACCTAACTCACACCGAGTGCAAAAGGCTACATTTTATATCGTAGAGAAGAATCCCAGAACTTCTAAGAACTTTCATCTTTAACATAAATAATGTCTCAACGAGGGGGAGAAATCACCCCCAGAGGAAAACCGTCTACAGGAACTGCCAGCTTAACATCACCAGTCACCAGACTGGAACCAGCTACAGATACAGCCAACACGATTTCTGAAGCACTGCACCCTCTGCTGGACCAGATGACTAACCTCAATAAGAACTTTGATGCGCTACAGAAAGAACTTAAAGAGACTAAGTTAAAATCAGAGAAGACAGCTAAAAAGCTGAAAAAGGTTGATTATAAGACAAAAGCACTGGACCAAAGAATGGAAGTAGCAGATAAAGAAAGAGCTTCTGAAAAACAACAATTACTACGACTACAAGTGGAAAGATCATTATACGTTTTAAGATTCCAAGATGTCCCAGAAAAGAAAGATGAAAATCTGAAAGAGATCTTAAGTGAAGCTTTGGCTCCCCTGGCAAAATGTAAACCTGAAGTACAACAAGCAGATATGGACATGGTCTATCAAACTTATCCAGAATTTGTCAAGAAAAATAACCTGCCGGGGAAATACCTGTAAAATTTTCTAAAAGATTAACAAGAGACTTGATATTCAAAACAACTAATGGGATAACTCTAAAAGTTCAAGAAGAAGAAACCAAAATATTAAAAGATGTTCCATTTGAGATATGGAAGAAGAGGAAACAATACAGAAACGTCACATCATTTTTACAGGGAAACTCAATCCCTTACCGATGGATTATTCCAGAAGGACTTATTTTTAACTTTAAAGGGGGAAAAGAGAAGATCGATTCTCTTACTAAGGCTGAACTATTTCTGAAGCAGCACCAAAGTCCAGCGAACAAAGGAAAAGCAGACGACAACAACGATACAGAAGATAAAAGTGATCAAGAAGAGATAAGCAGTGGCAGTTTCTCCTCCACTTCTGCATCTACAGGCAAGATTTTTGACTCTGAATCTGAATTGGGGGTGGCTGCCCCCAGAACATATAAGGTCAAACTCCCCTGGGAGAAGAAGAAGAAACATAAAGGGGGGAAAGCAACTAAATGAAGATCTGAGAATCTCCTTTGTACTTTATACGTAATAATGCACATTTATGCTATTTTATTATATTTTACTCTTTCTGTATACCTTTTCTTTACAAAGCTAACTAACATTGTGTAATCTTAATTACTAGGGAAATATCAAAAAATCGAAATTAGACCATCAATGATCCTTGCCTACTCTATAAGGTTGTAGTGTGTAGAATGTAGGATGTAGAGATAAAAGCAATAAAATCATTAAAAAGAGAAGCTCTTGCTTCTTTGCATGTGCTGCCTTTTAACATTGGTTGGACACATGGAACTCACTGCCACAGGAGGTGGTGGCAGCTACAAGCATGGACAGCTTCAAGAGGGATTGGGTAAGCATATGGAGCTGAGGTCCATCAGTGGCTATTAACCACAAGGTATAGATAGGAACTCTCAGTCTGGGGCAAGTGATGCACTGTACTCTTGGTGCTTGGGGGGGGGGGGCAACAGTGGGAGGGCTTCTAGTGTCCTGGCCCCACTGCTGGACCTCCTGATGGCACCTGGTATTTTTGGCCACTGTGTGACAGAGTGTTGGACTGGATGGGCCACTGCCCTGATCCAGCATTGGCTTCTCTTATGTTCTTATGACTGGCAAAGGCCCTGACTATGCACTTGGTAAACCACAAAAATCTGAGCATACTGGTCGCACTGTGGGAGTTGACACTTGTTGGCCTCTATGCAAGTAGGTCCCCCTGCAAACATGATAGGCATGTGTGTATTGAGATCAGCCAGGCATAATGTGGGAGGCAGCACCAGGAAAAGCCAGCCTCTTCAAAGTGAGCCAAATATCTGCCTAGTGCTCTGGTTGTTGGGAAACCGGGAATTAGATAAGCATATGGAGCAGAGGTCCATCAGTGGCTATTAGCCACAAGGTATAGCTAGGGGCTCTGGGGCAAGTGATGCTCTGTCTTCTTGGTGCTTGGGGGGGGTCAACAGTGGGAGGGCTTCTAATGTCCTGGCCCCACTGCTGGACCTCCTGATGGCACTGGTATTTCTGGCCACTGTGTGACACAGAGTGTTGGACTGGATGGGCCTTTGGCCTGATCCAACATTGGCGTCTCTTATGTTCTTATGTTCCATCCCTCAAGCATTACGGCTGAGGAGTTTGCAGCGGCATAAGTGAATTGGGCGTGGCTTTGACAGACTAGATTAATTTCTCCCCACCCATACGATACGTTCGGTGTGCCCTGTAAAAATGAAGGTTTATGTATATAAAATGAATGTGTGTATGTATATATGACAGCCCCACGATTATGGAATCACCTCCCCAGGGAGATGCAATTGGCCCCCTCACTCTCAGTCTTTAGGGGGCAGCTGCAGACTGGTTTATGTAGGATGGCATTTGATTTGTTTGTTCTTTCGATTTTTAAATTGTGATTTTCAATTCATGGCCCTTTTATTTTTGCAGATTGGAAAGACTTTAAAGAATATTTAGAGAAATATTGGGATGTAAAGAACAACTTACTTTGCTTTGAGAACTATTGAACAACTTTCTTTGCTTTGATAGTTATAGAAAAATAAATGATGTATAAGCACAATAGTAGAAAGATATGCTACCTGTAGAATTTGATTAAAGAGTAAAGAGAAAAAGAAGAGAATTCAAGATGTGGGCTGGAGATTAGAGCACTGTGGGAAGTCCGAAAGGGTGAGGAACTAGGAGAAATGGCTGTATGATATTTACTAGTGTGATCTATGTTTGACCTATTAATATATCCTAATAAATTGGGTTTAAAAAAAAAAAATCATGGCCCTTTTATGTGTTTTACGTATTTTTATGTTTATGTTCCATTTATATTGTAAGCTGCTGTGAGTTCGGTAAGGTAGAAAGGTGGCTAATAAATGTTTTAAATGAAAAATAAAAATATATAATCCCAGCAGCATGCAAACTATGGTAATACCCTGCTGTGTGAGCAGGATTCCACACCTTGCAGCGTTTGCTGATGGCTGAATGGCAGAACATCTGCTTTCCAAGGAGCAGGTCCCTGGTTCAATCCCTGGCATCTTCTCCAGTTAAAAGGACCAGGTCGTAGGTAACATGAAAAACCTCTTTCTGAGACCCTCGAGAGCTGCCCGTCAGAGAAAATACTTTCCTTGAAAGCCCAATGATATAAAGCAGCTTTAGAAGGGGACTGTTTAACTGCAATTGTGCAGCACCGTTAACTGGGGTTTTGAACATCATATTAACACTGTTCGAAGCCATCTTTTCTTTCTCTCTCTCTCTCTCTCTCTCTCTCTCTCTCTCTCTGTCTCTCTCTCTCTCTCTCTCTCTCTCTCTCTGTGTGTCTCTCTCTCTTTCCCCCTCTCTCTCGCTCTCTCATGCGCACGCGAATCGCTTAGAATACCTGTTTGTATTATCTTGTAAAATTTGTTTTTATGTTTTTTCATTTTTTCAAGTTTTTTCATTTATTTAATTCGATTTTTATCCCGCCCTCCCTGCAAGCAGGCTCAGGGTGGGTTACAAATCACAAAGTAACGATATAATCAAATACTTAAGACTATATTTCTCACAAAACACAAATCAGACACAAACAGGGTGGATTCACCTCAAAGTATAACTTGTGAACTGTCAGGAAAAGGCTTCTTAACTGTATAGTAGTTTTTGAAGTCACTGTCTCCTTTCTTGCAGGTGGTTCAGTTCAATAGGTTACCATTGGTAGTCAGTTTCATCGCTAGCAGCAATGCCAATACAGGTATGTTTTCAGGATCAAGAAATGTCTTCAGCATCCAGATTGCTAGGCTTAATTACATTGTACAGTATGCTCCTGCCAACCTAGCAGTTCAAAAGCAAGAAATTGCAAGTAGATAAATCGGTAGTGCTTCGGTGGGAAGGTAACAGCATTCCGTGCACCTCGGCGTCTAGTCACGCCGGCCACATGACCACAGAAACCTCTTTGGACAGCACTGGCTCTTCGGCTTGGAAACGGAGATGAGCTCTGCACCCTAGAGTCGGATTCGACTGGCTTTCGAGCAAGGGAAACCGTTACTTTTATGATATATGTGTTAAGGCAGTGATAGTGGCCTGGGAGCAACCTGTGGCTCTTTGACCTGCCACCTGTGGCTCTTCTGAGCGCCATTCCCCATTTTTTAGGAAAGCGGGCATGCCTAGGCTGGCCGGTGTTTCACAGTTAGCACAGAGAGAGATTCTAACCACCCACCAGTCTCTTGTGATACTAGAGTCCCACTTGAAGGGTCCTTTTAACATCCAGTCTGATGAAGAGTTCTGGAGAGCATGAAAGCTGGCATGTGCTTTTGTGTCATAAATCTGAATTGCAAGCCCTTCCCTGCACTCCAGAGACCCAGAGGCTGGCTAAGGTTCAACAGAGGGAGGGAAAGACAGAAGCCTACATGCTCAGATCGACTCTCGTAATTTAAAAAAATACATAGTTCTGCCTTCAACATTAATACTGGTATTTTATCGTATGTGTGTTTGGTGAGGTGGCACACAGGGCTTTCAGTACTCATGTGGCTCTTTTGGTTGATGGGAACTGCAAATGCCCTGACCTGAATGGGCCCAGACTAGCCCAATCTCTCCAGAGCTGGGTTGCTCAACAGGGTTGGCCTTGGTCAGTACTTGGATGGGAGACCACCAGGGACGTCCAGGGCGCCTAGACAGAGGCAGGCAACGGCAAACCACCCCGTGGGTTCGCCTTGAGACAGCTGTGACTTGACGGCACTTTCCACACCCCGTTATGGATGTGGCTGTTTGTGAGCCGTGGAGTGACTAGTCCTCTATTTAAGGTATCGGTCTGTTTGGGGGGAGTGGGGGAATCGGTTCTGCAGAAGTGGCCAAGAGTGGCATACAGTGTTCCCTCTAAGCTGAGTTAGTGTGAGCTAGCTCACAATTTTTTAGCCTCCAGCTCACACATTATTGCCTTAGCTCAGGAAGGATGGCTCCAGAGCAAACTAATTGATGCAGCAGCCAAATTGCTCGCTCACAGCGTTAATGCCAGTAGCTCACAAAGTAGAATTTTTGCTCACAAGACTCCACGGCTTAGAGGGAACATTGGTGGCATCTGCTCACAGTGCCAGGCACTGAGGCTTAGACCCAAACAGCTGTAGTGGCATCCTGTGCCAAGGCCAGCAGCGCAGGGCTAGACAGCTCCATTTGCCACTGAATGGGAAAAGGGAGATCAGTTGCTTTAGTGCTTGGTCGCTAGGGCTGCCAGATAGCCCGCGAGGGCATTGGCTCTGGGTGACCTCTGCGGCAGAAGAGAACCCCCCCCCCGCATTCTAACGTCCCGGCGTTTACTCAGCTGGCCCAGATCCCATGTTACTCCTCGCTGAATTCAATTCTCGAGCCTCTTTTTCCCCCCAGCCCCACCCCCAACAGTAACGATTCCTTTAACTCCTCCACCAGCAGAAGATTGTAGAGAGTTGCTAGTTTAGTCCTTCTGGGAAATAAACAGTCTCTTCTTGTCTCTTTAATTCATCTTCGTCAACTTAAAGAACTCCCAGCTATTTTCCTTGCCCCTTGAGTAGTGGCTTTTGTAAGGGGGCAGTAATACCAGATTCATGAAAGGAAACATTTAGCTTTAGTTGAAATTAAAGCCTTCTAGCCATTGATCGTGGTGGTGAAAAGTGCAGTCAAGTCACAGCTGACTTACGGCGGCCCTGCAGAGTTTTCAAGGCAAGAGACGTTCAGGGGTGGTTCGCCACTGCCTGCCTCCGCATCACGACCTTGGTATTCCTTGGTGGTCTCCCCTCCAAATACTAACCAGGGCCAACCCTGCTAAGCTTCTGAGATCTGATGAGATCGGGTTAGCCTGGGCTAAAGCCATTGATTGTCTAAAGGGAAAAAACTATAGTGAGCAAATTTATATAATAACCACCGAGTACGCAAAGCAAAACTTTCAGGGGGTGGCCATGTTGGTCTGTAGTAGAAGAGCTGGATTCAAGTTCAGTAGCAGCTTCGAGACCAACAGGATTTTCAGGGTAGAAGCTTTCAAGACTCTGACTCTCAGAAGCTTATAATCTGAAATTTGTGTTGCTCTCTAAGCTGCTCCTGGGGAGAAAAAAACTTTTGTCCCATTGGCTATTCACTATTAACATATCCTAGCCATGCCCTGGCCAGGATAGCCTGATCGTGGAAGCTAAGCAGGGTCAGCCCTGGTTAGTCCTTGGATGGGGAACTACCAACAACCTCCAGGGTTGCTACGCAGAGACAGGCAATGGCAAACCCTGACTGAAAGTCCTTTGCCTTGAAAACCCCATGGGGTATGTCAGCTACAGCCTGATGGCAAATGCCAGGCAAGCTGAACAATGGCAAGAGAAACTGATTCCGCATCTTTTACCTACCCAGGAAGCCCGTGTTGTAGCAGATCTTGCTGTGAAAGTGCTCTCAAAGACAGGCTCGGGAAGCCAAGACAGTAGACATTGCCGCTCCCAACAGAAGGGAGGTTCCCTTTGGTGCCAAGCCTGGATTCTGTTTCACCTCTTTGCAGGGTTTGGCCTTCAGGCATCTACTGTGCTGCTGGGAGAATGGCTCTCATTTAAATACTGCTCACTTCTGTACCAGAAAGTTGAAGTGAAATTTAGTGTCTTTCCCCCCTCAAATGCTTGTTTTCAGGTTCATCTGTAAAGGGAGGGTGGCCAATAAATGCTTACAAATGCATTCTTTCCTGTATTCTATAACAATTTTGTTCTTCTGCTTCCCCCCCCCCCCAATGTTTGCAGGGTTGATTGTAAGCTTGGAAAAAGAGCTTGCACCCTTGTTCGAAGAGCTGTGGCAGGTTGTGGAGGTATCTTAATCGAATCCATCTGCAGAATACAACATCTCCTCAGTACCAAACAAAAGAGAAAGTCAGTCCTTCTCAATGACCTGCCATGCAAATGTCACTTCCTCATGTTCTAAATTTAAAAAGGAAGATTCTTCATTGTGCTACATCTGAAATCACAAAGTAATATGATTATAAAGCAAGACTGGGAGAGGTGGGCTGTAACTGCATTCATTAAACTATGGGGAACTTTGAGCAACTCCCATGGAGTTAACCTCAGGCAATGCATTGTGCAGATCATATTTCATGAAGTGTCCAAAGCAGGAAAAATGGGGTTTGATCAAATATGGTACCCACGGCTTCCCTCCGCCTTCTAGGCTGTCGTTCTAGAAACTGGGAGAAAAACATTATTTTAACATTATCTTGCAATGATCTCATTACAAGGGGAAATTTTGCTGGCACTGATAGGCAGTTGGTTACTGCTGTTGTTGGTTTTTTAAAAAGACCTAATAGACAGCTGACTGCTTTTTAACAGACACTTGCTAGCTCTTCAGCACTTTTGGTGTGGAAATCAAAGTTCTCAGTTGTTGTTTGTTCTCTCTCTACATATTTCCTTGTAAAATACAAGGAGGATAAAATCTGTGTCATCCCAGTGGTCACTGATGTCTGAGTACATGGCAATGGTGGTGCTTTGTGGGCTCACACTTGTTTTGCTGCCTCATTTACCTTTGCTTGTTCCTAAACGAATTTAAATAAACATATTTATAAGATATGCACCCTGATCTGTTTCTTAAAACATGGCACTGTGACTTGCATCCTTTGATACATAATGCTGCTGTAATTAGCATGACAAAAATGTGCAACCTGGGTAAAGATATTTGTTTTCCTTCCTGGGCGAGTTTGCTGGTGAAAATACAGGGCTTGTGAAAAGAACCCCAGAAAGAATATGAGGACACAAAGGAATACTCCGGAAAGGGATAGTTGTGCCCCGTAGGTTGAGTGTTCGGTGGACTTGGCCTTAGTGTTTTGTTCCCTCTGCATCCACACATTCCTCTTGCCCAGGGGTCCCCAACAGCGTGCCCACTGACACCTTTCCAGTCACTCATCAAGTGTTAGAAAGTGAGGGGGGCCAGGTGGGGCTCCTGCCCAGCAGGACTTCTGATTGGCCATTGGAGATCTGATGGGCTGTGCAGGGTAACATAACACTGTTTCCGTGGAAGTCACACTGTTGCCCTCAGAGTGAAAGGCATCACCTAGATTTCTCAGTCCTCTATTTTGAGAGCCAGCACAGTGTAGTGGTTAAGAGTGGCAGACTCTAATCTGGAGAACCAGGTTTGATTCCTCAACTCCTCCACAGGAAGCCAGCTGGGTGACCTTGGGTTAGTCATGGTTCTCTCAGAGTTCTCTCTCAGCCCCACCTACCTCACAGGCTGTCTTGTGGGGAGAGGAAGGGAAGGTGATTGTAAGCTGCTCTGAGACTCCAAGCGAAGGGTGGGGTATAAATCCACTTCCTCCTCTTCACCATCTTCTCCTCCTCTTTCTCCATCTTCTCCTCCTCCTCCCAGTGTACTTTTAAAAATCACTCTTCTTGACCCCTGCACCTGGGCTTCCTCCATGTGTGGTTCTGCTGCCTGCAGCAGCCATTTACAATTGTGCCAACCACCCTGTATCAGAATTCCCAAGGTGCTCACAGACTCAAAAGGGTTGGGGAACCCTGCTTTGCCACAAGGACTCTTCCATTGGTACGAGAGCATCTTGTGCCAGCTAGAAGGTTCTTCACTGAAGGAATGTGTGAACACCAGTGAAACAAAATTAGAGAATCCTACCCAATGTTTTAGTCCCTGATTGTTGGTTTTTATACCCTGCTTTTCTTTTTAAGGGGCCTCAAAGTGGCTTACAATCGCCTTCCCTTCCTCTCCCCACAACTGACAGCCTGTAAGTTAGGTGGGGCTGAGAGAGCTCCGAGAACTTGTGACTGGCCCGAGGTCACCTAGCCGGCTTCATGCGGAGGAGTGGGGAATCAAACCTGGTTCTCCAGATTAGAGTCCACTGCTCTTAACCACTACACCATGCTGGCTCTCAAAATAGAGGACAGAAGTCTAGGTGATTATTTTCACTCTGAGGGCAATTGTGTGATTTCCTTCATGATGTACTTTTTCCCATGTGGTTTACACTTGTGCCAAAAAAGTATGAAATAGGTTACAAATAGAAATGTAAGTGGTGGTGTCTGATTCCGATGCATCTGTCTGGAAACCAGTCTGGGTATTCGGTTACGGTTGCATGCATTAGTGAAAAAATATACATTTGGCTGCTTTATGTACAAAAACCTAAGACTGAAAATTTGTCCTTAGTTTAAAATCCTTCCAGTTTTAGGTTCTTCAAGAACATGTACTTTCAGACTGCACTTCTCTGTTTTATAAACAAATATAAAAGTAATTTGCAATGGGAGGATGAAACCTAACCTTGTCTACAGTAAAATGTAACCTTGCCTAAGAAAAACAGGAGCCATTTTTTAACTAGAGCGTATGAGGTAACAAAGATTTCAAAGCTGCACAGAATATAACTTGCTGCAGAACTTGGGGTAGATCCAGACTAAATTTTCTGTTCACACGAGAGACACTTCTGTCAGGGGAACAGAACCCTCCTGCATGTGTACCTTGCTGCATAACAGAAGGTGCCGTGCAAAGAGAAAAAATACTGTCTGAATGTAAAGTTTAGAGTAGGGAAAAATTGAAGGTAGTAGAGGGCTTAAAAAGGGGGGAGAGGTGGTTTATTTTTCAGTTGTAGCAGGTGATTTTGCATCCTTGATCATGCTGTTTGTTTATTTATTTATGGGGGGAGGTTATTCCACCCTCCCCAAACGGGCTCAGGGCGGATCACAACAATTTTATTTATTTAATTCACTCATGCCTTTCCTGTCTCCCCAGTGGGGACCTAGAGCAGGTTACATCATTTTCTTCTCCATTTTAGCTTCACAACAACCCTGTGAGATAGGCCAGGCTGAGAGTGAATGCCTGGCCCAAGGTCACCCAACGAGCTTCCACGGCAGAGTGGGGATTTGAACCTGGGTCTCCCAGCTCCTAGTCTGACACTCTAACCACTACACAACACATAATGATAAAGGGTTGGATCCAAACCATGCCTGAAACCACTGCAGTGCATTGTTGAAGGCAAGGAATTACTTGGAATATGCATAGGTCTTACTGCTGTTGGTTCTTTCTTTGACAGATCAGAGAAGAAAATATTACCAAGTTTGGATTCTAGAAATTACAGTGATTATGCAACTTGTTCAATGATATGGAACTGGACGTTATGATAGTTCTACTTCATCAAATAAGCTGTATAAATAGCCTTTTTTTTTAAACAAGGTGATTTAACAGCTAAAACAATTATATGCGTGTATATCCAGTTTCCCCAAACTCAAATTTTCTTGAGCGATAAAAAAGCTTTCTTACTTCTGATTGAAATCTGGAGTTGGAACAAGATAGGCTGGACTAGCAAACATGGGGGTGCCCTTTTCAAACACCTGGAATGATGAAACTGCCACGGGGATCAGCAGTTGGGCAATAGTGAATGGTCTGAGTTCTGTCTCACCTATGATGATAAAGACGTTTACTTCTGGAATAGCTCTCTGTGAAACCAGCCAATGCTTCTAAAATAGCGCACACAGTAATGTTGTTTTTTTTCTCTTTTGTTATCAGTTTATTAGAAATTTACAATAAGGATACAAGAATATATGAACTCTTGCTGCTCCTGCTACATTTATGAAAAACTCTACCGTCTTCTGGTCCCATTCTCTAGTTTGCTGTATTCACAGTTTATTTTGAAATGTTTCCAAGGCTAAACACAAGACTGTTTCTAAAAGGGTGTAAAAAGATGAAAATCTAACCAATATAGTAATAGTATCCAACTATCTCATCTTTCTGGAGAAGAGTTCTCTTACCATGATCAGTAACTATACCTAGTAAGGCACACATACACATACATTCTCACTAATGCATACCTACAATTGCTTTTGCTGCTGTTGGGCCCATCCAGGATACTTTCCCCAAAGGCAGGTGATATGTCTTCATGTGTGTCAACCGTGGCCTTTAAATGTGTGTAGGATAGTTTTGGTGCTATCGGTATAACAACATTTCATAGTATGCCAAATACATGTGCTCTGCTCCAAAACTGTGCATATGTTCTGGATTCCATTGATGCAATGGGAACATTTCCCGGATCTAGTGATGTTGTCAGATACAAAGTGTCCCAAGTGTCATTTGCACTGCAGACTGTGAATTGAGAAATGTACATAGTTCCATTTGCACTGTGATGCAAACGCCCACCTCCAGTCCCTCTCTTAGGTTGTATGCACACTGTTGTACACAACTGTATTACAGTGGGGCAAGATAGTTTAAAAAACATAAATTTAGGTTCATAGAGGTGTTTTTGCTATTCTTACCCACCCATCCACATTTTATTTGCTTTATGGTATACCCAGGGATTGTTTTGGGGAGGGGCAGGGGAGAAATATAAGCCTACCATAGAAAGGAATCTTTCCTCTAAATGGCTGTAATACAAAAGTAAGTATAAAACCAATTTGCTTTGAACAGGCATAAAACAACAGAACATGCTATTGCTGTTGGTAAGATTAGGAGTTTTAAAAACCTAAACGGCAAACTTCATGAGACAGCATTCCGTTGGGTCAAAAGCACCACACATGATGCTCTGTTTACATATGGAAGCTTTTTAGTTCCCCACTTGCCATGGCAGCCACCTCTACCCCACCCAACAAAAGTCAGTAATAATCATGGTTCTTCCAAAGCAGTACCCTGTGAGGTTTACAGGACAGGCCTGCTGCTGTCTGAAAGGACTGAGCCTTGGTCCTTCTTTATCACGACCACTCGTACTCATTGTTTTGGAAGCTATAGCAGACCGGGTTAAAACTACTTTCTTTGTCGTGTGCATGCAGTTTATGCTTGAGAAACTGGAGGAAATTACTGGGAACATGTAGAGTACGCCAGGGTTTTTAGAACTGAAGCTTTCACAGGTCATTCCGTGGCTGATACTATGAAATATCCAAGTCCTTTGAGTTAACTGCTCACAACTCAAGGGCTTTCATTCATTCTGGACGACTGGAATTATCCACAAAGAAAAGAAGTGATGTGTGGCAGCAAAGACTGGAATACACAATACTTTACGGTGCTGTCCAATGCAGAAAACAGGGTGTTGGCCATCATCACGTCAAGATTTGATAATGATCAATAGTTTAGATGGGTTTTTTTTTTTTAAAAAGTTATACAAATTCATGGAGGGTAGTTTCCTCAGTTAAGTATTAGCTCCAATAGATAAAAACGGACCTTCGGTCTTCAGAGGCAGGATTCTTCTGAAGAAAGACATCAGGGTTGGCTAGCTCCATCATACCATCATCATTGAGAGTCCTAGTAGCATCCGGATGGTCCTGGGGTTGATGGATCTCTGGTCTGACCCAGCATGGCAGTACTTCTTGATGGCAGACTTGATGGAGCATCAGCTTGAACTAGCATGATGGGCCACGTGCAGGCAAAGTTCCTATGGGCATACCTATGGCTTGAGTGTGCCATCACGCTGTCGGGCTTGTCTTCTTATCTGTGACTAAACAAAATAAAAAAACAGCAACCATTTTTAGGTAACTGTGAATTTTGAACAGTGTCCCATAATTTTAGGCACTTAGTACTTATACGAAGAGCTGGACCTGTGAAGACTTGTACAGAAGGGGAGTTCCAGTCCTCCACCCCTGCCGTCCCACTTCCTGACACTGGCTCCGTTTCCCACCTTTGCTGCTGTTTCTTTTCTGTGGCTCTGGCTGTTCCTTCCCCGCTTATCTAATCATACACATCTCAGCCTGTCCATAATATGCAAACGAAAAGGTTTTGCATCCTTAATTTCCCACAGGACAGAGAGGGGTAGAAGAAACGCTAGCTGCAGAGCAGCCAGTTTCAAAGAGCAAGGATCAGTGGAAGCTGAAGAGTACAACCTTCTCCACAGCGCCAAGGCAAATTGAGGCTGCACAGGCCTGTAATTTGCACTTTGTGGATTGACCAAAGGCATGACTTCCATTGCCTCTGTTTGAGCTTCCAGACCACTGTTTCACATAGCTCAGTATTCTCTCTACTCTGACCGGTAGCACCATTCTAGGGTCACGGGAGAGAAAGGTCTTGTTTTGCTACTGAAGATCCTCTTGAAGAGGAGGTGGCAGGGATCGGATCTAGATTCTTCTACCTGCAAAGCAGGTGCTCTACCACTGAGGCACAGGCCCTCCCCACTGATTCAAGGGGCCACCGCAGTGCTTTCCAAGGAGCTGCACTTGGAAAAATAAATTGTAGATGCTCTGATTAATACGCAGAATCTCCGTCTGGATTTTTTGTATGCCAGTTTATATGGTCATTTTTCTCTTTTCAATACTAGTGAGGCCAGAATGGAAATTTAGCCTGATCCA